ACTATAAGAGTGATACGACAATATGAGTAGAGTTTTGTTGATATTTTGTTGATAATTGACACACGGGAATTAAATTGTGTATGTGTTTTGATGTTGAAAATGTTATTAAGATGATATTGTAATGATGTATATCCAAATATAAGTGTGTTATAGTTGTTGCTACTCTAAATATTGATATGTCAGATTATGGTGGAGTAGTTGAGATGCTAGTACCGATCATGTCACGGAGTGTTGAATGATTGGCATGTGTGTAATCGATATGAATCGTGTTGAGTTATTGAGTTATCAGGAAAGTAGTGGTCGAAGTGTGGCCAAACGCGACTTGAAAATCAACAAGTTAGATGCGAAACTTGTACTAAGAGTGGTAGTATGAAATAGATTTTCGAGAACGAAAATATTCTAAGTGAGGGAGAGTTGTAACGCCCATTAATTTAATTAATTATTTAATTAAATTAATTACAGATTAATGGTTGAAAATGTTGTTGAAATTTTTGAAGTTGAGAAATATCGAGAAATATTGATTTAAGTTGCTAAGTTGTTATTTGGTTGATATTTAATTGATTGGTTGATTAATATTAGCAATAATATTAAGATAGATATTAGAACAATATAAGGTTTATTAGTTGGGCTCATTATTTGGTTGTATGGAGTAATAGGTGGGGTGTGAAAGTTAGGCCCAATAAGAATAGTAATAATTATAAGGTTAAGCTAATTATAAGGAATTAGGTTAATTGAACAAGTCTTGAAGAATTTGGTACGTGAGAAGTTGCAAAATTGCAGAGAAAATATGAGAAGAGGCAAAGGTTGGAAGCTTTGGCAAGAGACTTTAATCGGTAGTATAGAGTGATCTTCAATCCAAGGTAAGGGTGAGGTTCTGACTCTATAACGAGTTGTTTGATAAATGATACATGGAATTGGGTTGTGTAAACAAAAGTATTGTTGTTAAATCGTGTTAACTGTGTTGAAAGTGTTGCTGTTAATTTCATGTGTTTGGGTTGCTGTTCCAGTGATGAATTGCGTTTTTGAAAATTTGATATTGTAGTAATTAAAGTGTTGGCATATGAGACAGGTATTAAGAATTTTTTGGAAAAATTACATAGAAAACAAGTACTGGAAGAAGTGTGCCAAAAGGCACTCGAAAAGTGGCGCCCGACAGGGAAAGCGGTGTCGAGCGACACCCTGTGTGTGTGAGTGTGCCAAGTGGAACATGGTGAGAGAGGGAGGGTGTGTGCCGAGTGACACGTGGGAGAGGAAGGGAAGTGTGTCACTAGGCACACCAAGATGTGGCGAAGGGGACAAGAGAAAGAAAGTAGTTCCAATATTGTTTTCTTGTAGCAATTTTGTTATTAAATTAATAAGTTCTTTTGTTAATTCTTTCACCAACTTTTAGTGAATTAGTAGCATGTGGATTAGAAACTATAGGTTAATTACTCAGTGTGATTAAAGTATAAATTAATCAATGGAGTTTTATTAAGTGTTGGAAGTATAGATAATTTTAGTAGTAGAATAATATTAATATGGCAGAGTTGGTATTAAATAGCAGAGACATTAGTAACCTATATATATATATATATATATATATATATATATATATATATATATATATATATATATATATATATATATATATATATATATATATATATATATATATATATATATATATATATATATATATATATATATATATATATATATATATATATTAACAGTAAGGGTAAATTAGTAGCAGGTTTATTAAATTAGCAGAGTAATGTGTGGGTTTGATAATAGTAGTACGAAGAAGAAAAAGTATAATTTTAGCAAATAATTATTAAGCAGATATAGTTGAATTGTCCGAATAATTATACGGAATATTTGTTGTATATTTTAGTCGATACGGTGTGTTGAATACTTGGCTAAAAAATATGAATTTCAGGTGGTATTGAATTGTTAGGCTTATAGCCAATGTTGATTCATGTTGAGTTGTTGTGTTGTTGTGATTGTCGATGTGAATTCTTGTTGATAATGCGAAGTTGCAAATAATTTTAAATGATGATGAATTATCTCTATTTATTGGTAATAATGGCAATGTGGGCCTATTCCTTGCAATGAATGAAGATTGTTGTGAGTATGTGATAGTGAACTCATTGAGTCACATACATTTGCATACTCTGTGATGGCCTGGATTGACAAACTGTGAAGAAGACTTATGCCTTGTTGATGCCTCTATTTATTGTCAGATTTTTAAGATGGGAGTTATGCTCCAATGGTACCACATGCATGTGTGTTGTAATTGAGTCGCCGTTGATGTTGCATCTTGAGTTGTGGTGATGATATATTTGTTGTTGCTTTATGTTGTTGACTTGTTGTGACGGGTATTATCTAAAAGCCGTGAATGAGTAGTTATGTCGTGTTGATGTTTTGTCGAGATTAAAGTTGTTTGTAAGTTGTGAAGTGGTGATTTTATAAGATCTGATTTAATATATTATCCGATATCTCACTCCTTTTGTTTGAATGTTGCCCTCTGTTGGTAATATGCAGGTAATTAGGAAGGATAGTTGTTACATTCGTTAGTTCGAGTTGGTGTTGTCGCTCTGATACCCAGCACTCGGGGGGATGAACACTTGATGTTTAGTTGTTGATATTTATTTCAGTTGCTGAATTTTAAGTTGGTTACGTGAAATAATTATTGTCTTTAAGTTGTTTTAGTTGAATAAAAGATGTTAAGTAAATTAAAGTTGAGTATGTAAATTCCGCTGCTTATCAATAAAAGTTGTTTGATTTTGAAGAACAAATCAGGTGGTTGTCGGTTCACCTGAGTTAAGTGTTATGTATCTGTTTATATGCGATTAAATGAAGTTTAATTTTAAGTTGAAAATGTAGCATCCTATTTATGTTGAACTCTAATTTTCTTAGTATCCACCGGGTAGAAATAAGGTGTTACATTTATCATCCATAACATTTTATTTTCTTTACTTTATGCTTTTTTACTTTGCTCACTTGAGCATTTATCTTCTCTTTGCTCACTTGAGCTTATTATTTTCTTTTGCTTGTTATAAGCCACTTAATAAAGAAAAAACCTAAAATTGGTTCTTTAATCCTTGGACTATGGTTACTATCCATTTTTATCTGATGCATGATTCTTGTTTGGTCTTCATCTGATTATTATCTTTGTGTTTGAATCCAAGAGAAATCATCGTCTCTTTGACTTTATGTTATTGTGAGTCTTTATATTTTGTCTCTCATATTTGTTTCCCATTAGTTAAAACCTTTAAAACCCTATTTTCAAATTTACACCCTTTTAAGTCAAAACTTCGACATTAGGTCGTTGTATTTTCAAAATTTCTCATCTCCCCGATCATTTTTGCAAATAAACTTTTTAACCAAAAAAACAGATATTTCAAAAGGTTCCTATAAGATACTATAAATGTATAGGGTGCTAGTGCCTCCCCTTTGTATAACCAACCCCCAAATCTTCGATCTTTTCAAATGCATTGTATTTTTCTTTACTTTTAGTATTGCACTTACTTTGCATATTTATGAGTTTTATTTCGCACTTTTCCCTTTTCCCTTGGAAATAATGAAGCGCGGTGGCGACTTTTACTTATTTGCGAGTCAAGTTAATTAATAGCTTAATCTTCGATTTTCATCACTACAATCACACACAACAACATAGTATAAAATATAAATCCAAATAAATTTTAAACAAAATATAATTGCAACATAAACTAAATAACAAAATGACTACTTTAGTGTCTAATGAATTTAATTTCAATTAGTGAAAGTTGCTACAAATAAGCTTTGAACAAAGTCTACTTATATTTTAATTTTATTTTTTTACAAAAACATTATAAAAACTGTGTCGTTTTGTTTGAGGAAAAACAAAGTAAGCATTTAACCTGCCGATTCGCCAATTTTTACCAACATTAACCGATTATGGCCAATTCACACTGGTTCAATAACTTATGCGATCCAACAATCAAACCAGAATGATGACCTCTATGGTTTTTGGTTCGTATGGCCGATCCGATTCGATTAATAAAACATTGTATAAAAGCAATGTTTTAAAAATCAGATCAGCTGGTTGAAATAGAAACCAGAGGGATCACCGGTCTGATTTGATTGTTGGATCAAGTAAGTAATTGAATCAGTGGAAACCGGCCAGAGCTGAAAAAACATGTAAAAACCGACAAACAAGCGTGTTAAATGCTTACTTTATTTTTCCTCAAATAAAACAATGTCGTTTTGATAATTAAAAAATAAATAAAATATAAGTAGACTTTGTTCAAAACTTATTTGAAACAAATGTTTCTCATTGGAATTAAATTTATTAGATATAGAGTAGCCATTTTATTAAGGGTTAAATATACATTACCCCCTGTCATATTAATGATTTTTGATTTACTCTCTTAAGAATTTTTTTTGTGATCCCCCTCAATATTTTCAGATTCCATCCAAAAAAACCTTGATGCAGATTTTGATCCAAGATTCTCCACAATTGTCATACGTGACCAAGTCCACTTTGCTGACTGTGCTTCATTTGCCACGTTGAAATTATTTGAATTTATATTTTGTACCATTTTATTGTGTGTGATAACTACGTTTAGAATTTGAATTTAATCAATGAACTTGTGAAATTATGAAATTTTGTTCTTATGGTGATATTTTTAAAGACTGTGCCATCCAATTTAACCGGTTTAATAACTACATAATTTTATTATAAATATCAGTTTATTCTACCGAATTACCTGATTTAATAAAAAACTTCAATCAATAATTCAATAATTCGATCAATAATTCGATCAATAATTCGTAATCTTCACCTCACCTATGTGATTAGATATCAATTTTTAAAACACTTAACAAAAAGGAAAGTGAAAGCATGTCATAAGTCATCACTTATTCTCCCGGTTTTAGAAGAGACTAACATGTCCAATAGTTAAAAACTTCTATCCGTCCTGGTATCACCACTGCAAAAGAAAGAAATAGAAGATAGCTTAACCTTAATGGAAGCCTAAATGGAACTTTCTGCATTCCCCAACTTCAAAATTGTTTCCAATTCTTCATTATTCCATTATACCTCGAATCAAATTCACTCTCGATTCTCTCTTTCTCTTCGTCACTCCCATTATGGCTTTCGGTGTCTGCGTCGGCGTCGCAATTCAAAACCGGTACCGCAGATCAGGATGTGCTCGGAGAAGCTTCCGAACGGTTCCGGTGGAGTCGAAATCCGAGAAACCAAATCCGATTTCGTCGACGTGATTGCCATTGGCGGTAGGAAGGACGCGGTTTTTGATTTCTGCTTGAACTCGCCGTTTCAGTTGTCTTCTCTGCGCTTTTGGTAATTGTTTAGTTTCCTGTAATCGTCTTCGTCGCCTTTTGGTGAATTGAACATTTTATACTGTTGCGTTTGATTTTGGAGTGTGTCAGGCACTCAGGCTATTCAGGGGATGTAATGGATTCTCGTTTTGTGACTCGGAATCTAAATGTTGTTCACTATTATATTTGTTACTTTAGGTTTTTCTATGAGGTTTCGCCCGAATATTGATTTTATACCTTTCATATTTGATGATGATTATAGTGTATTTAGAAGAGAGATTGGTGATTAAAGTAAAAGTTATTTGTTGAGAGGAATTTACCAAAGGTAGAGGATTGAAATGTAGAGAATTCCTTCATATATATAGCATGGTAAGAGAGGGTTGAACTAGCAACAAACCTTAGTGCAAAATCGTGGAGAATGATTAGGTTTCTTTTAAACTATTTTCTAGTTGGCTCCGTGTAACGAAAAGTTGGCCAAAAGTTTGTAATTACTTTTACTAGTTTTGGGAGTTAAATTTTCCTTCTAGCATTGTTATTTATCACAGCGGAAATTGATCACGAATAACACTTGTTCGATTTTAAGAAGAAATTGGAAATGGCTATGTTGATTGTTCCGGAAACGATGGGTATTCTCCGAATGATATAGTGTCGTTAGTCCTGACTATTTTGTGAGAGGGAGCTCTTTGTCACATAAAGCATTTTCCTTACTCTTCACCTGGGTTGAACAAGGGAATTGAATCAGCTGCCGTTTATGAAATAATTGCAACTCATGCAGTTTTGATCCAATGGCTTAAAATATATTTTCATGAAAAGCTTTAGTTTTCCTGATCCTGAAAGTAATTTAAAAAATAATTAGTATGATTGAATTAGCATTGTTAACGGTCTCTTTGTGCCTGATATTAAATAGTACATCATTTAGAGTGTACAATAAATAGCTTCTGGTTGTAGTTTGATAAATTATTCTTGCAGAAAAAGGTCTAATTTATTCTGGAATTGCTTTTCGTTTCCCTCATTTTGAGTTTGTCTCGATTTATCAATATCCTGCAGGAATGTTATTGTAAAAGATTCACAAGAGGTGCAATTACAACAAAGGCCTACTAAAGAAGGTTTTCCTCTCATTTCTGATTCTTCTTCACTTGTTCTTCATTATGCTTTGCATTTCACAACCAAAAATGAAACTTAAACCTTAAATCAGAATACAGACTCATTATGTAAGTCACAACTTTTCAATAAAATAGAAGATAAGTAAAGAAAAACAGCGTAAATGCCTTGTTTCAAAAATGAAATTCAGTTCAAATATTCATACATATCTCACACTCTGGTTAAAAAGGTACTGATAGTTGACGTTATTTCTGCAGAACCTTGCTCAGAAATTGTCAAAGCTCCAGTATTTATGAAGTCATGCTCAAAGACTATTGTCCTTGTTTGTACATTCCTTTCCTTATTACTCTCGTAGTAAAGTCTTTGTTTCAATATACGCGATCTTTATACATTAAGTTACCTCAAACATAGTTTGCTTTATCCTGTTAAACTGATGTTGTGAAGTTCACAAATCAACTGAACTACTTAAATTTGTTATCAGTGTTATTAAATAGCGGTGCCGTGACCACTATGACAGATATACATGGCGGTTTTTGGGCGCAATGGTAAATATCGGTCGATATTGCGGGTTTTTCCGCCATAATCTGCTATAACGGCGCCACAAAGCGCCCGATATGGCGGGATTTTTGCTCTCCACCATGGACTGCCATCTGCCATCGACAACACTGGTTGTTACTCATCACCATAGAATATATATTTATAACTGAAATTCTAAGGCATGACTTTTTGCATTATTAGATACGGCAAAGATGACTGACATGAATTAGGATGTTTGGTTGCCTTATGATGTATTTTTCCAGCCTCAATTAGTGAAAGTCGTCTAAATTGACCTTTGGTTATCCCCCTTTTTTTTTCTTTAGGTGGCTAGTGCTGGATATGGATCAGACCACACCGTCGCCGTTGATATTTTTGAAACTGTAAGGTCCACAAATGGACTCACATTTGCTGTAGTTTTGAAGCCATTTAGCTTTGAAGGGTTGAGACGAAAAGATGAGGTATTAACGACGCCTTGGATAATATTATACTTCACTGCTATAATGGCATCAGAAATCACAGCCTCAGAGCATTCTTTATGATATTTTTTCAAACAAAGCTGCATGCTATATGATGAATAATTCAGTGAGCTCAGTATCTTATCAATTATGATTTTTCGCAAAAATGCCACTGGAATTTATTAAATATCTTAATAGTTTTCACTTAATGATTGCTTTAGTTTCCTCATTTAATCAGTTATGTTTTGTAGTTCAAGCATTTTTGTCCACATGATATAATTGTTTTTGTTATAAATTCTCAGGTAAAAGCTTTGGTGGGGAAACTTAAGAAGAATACTAATTTACTTATCGGTGAGCTATGTGCTATATCTTTACAACTTTTTCCCGGTTCATTGGTTTTTTTCCAAATTTAATTTAACACTTGAAAGGCAAAGCCTTTTCTCTTTCTGAAAAGAAGATTTAGTTGTGTTAAATGTTAAAGATTGCTGATTTGCCCATTATTGAGGCATATGTCACAAGTTGGCTCAATGCCTTTGTTTGTTTGGTAACATGATATGTGAAAGCGAATCAGTTATAGAATCAATACCAATCAAAGTCAATCTGACATATGGTAAGTGTCAGTTGGGTTTGTTAGTCTCATGAATATGGGTATGGACTGTGGAGTGGCTTAAAGTAGTAGTGAAGAACAAAAGAAAAAATTTATTTTTTATTTACTTGATAAAAAAAACCCTTAATAAGTTCATGGCTATATATACTTTTGAAAGATTTTCTTTGCAAATCACCTTAACAACATAGGAAGTAATATAACTATTTGAAGACCTTCCTATGTGTCTAGTATAAGTGTGAAGTAACCAATTATCAGATAGAAATCAACTTTTTGTATATATTCTAAGAATGATTTTTGAATTATATTTCCAACATGCCACACATTCAAAAGAGCTTCAATCATATTTCCTAAACATGCTCAAAGTTGATTATCAAAACATTTATTGGTTATTCCAAGCATCCAAACTGCCTGCAATACAAAAAAAAACAGGCATCCTTCAGAGTTTCTCAAGTGTAACATGCATAGGTGACAATAATTGGAAAGGTATGGTAACTGAATGGATTTATATCATTGGGATTAAGGGTGGATGCTGAAAGTTGTTTAAAGTTCCTGTGAATGAAACTGATTAAAGTTGAATATGAGAAGCAAGAGAAGTATAGTTTATCTTTAATAGGATCACCAAAGCACCCACAAAAAGTCTGAAATTTTGTCCACTTTTGTCGTTTATGAGACAGAAATTGACATCGATGCACTTCTCAAAAAAGACATGTTGACTCTAGATGAGGCTATGAAGACTGCAAATGACGCTGTTTTGCTAGCTATTAAGGCCATATCAGTTCTAAAATCAGTTAAGTTTCATTTTCAAGTATTTCTCTTGCTGTTTCTATGTGTAAAAGTATCATATGGTTAAAGACTTATAGATGGAATGTTTTACAGGAAATGCACAGAAAATTTATAGATAGATTGCACAATAGCATGAAAGAAGCCTGCAATTCAGAAATTATTAAAGTAAGTCTCTAAGATTTTCATCAACAGTTCAGACATTTTCCTCACAAATGTTGCTTTATAGTTTTCTTGAAACTGGACCAATCTTGATTATCAAGGCACTCTTTTTTTCTAAAACCCGTCTTACTATGTACAGATACTGGAATGCTATAAAGAAGCCAGAATTGGATTTGGGGCTGCTTATAATATCAAAGCTTCAATTATGCAGTCTATATTTGATAGTCCTTTTCTGGGTGCTTCTTTGAAGGTATACCTGCCTTAGATATTCATGAATATTAGTTATTTTTTCTTTGTTTGCAGATCACACAAATGCTTTTTTTTTTGTTGCACAATATGACCATATTGCTAGTTGATCCTTTTTCAGAATGGTTTCCTCTGCATGTTTTAGATTCATTTTCTAAAAAATATTTGATCGTAAGCGTTTAGTTTTTTAATTTCTGATTCTTATTCCTTCTCTTCCGCTGTATTAAATTATAATTACCATTTTTTTCAGGATTCAAATAGTGCAGTTATATGCATTATTGCGTGTTCTGAACCCATCAATGATAGTGATATAGCAGTCTTTCTGCGTACTTTCCGTCAAACAACACAATACACGAGGGATATTATAATATCAACAGTACTCGAGCCTGATGTCGAGCCCAAACTATTAATCACAACTGTCCTTACACTTGGGTAAGTATTTTTGTTTTTTTGCTGAGAGAACAATACTTGTGTAATCATCTTTCTCACTTGAACCTGTGAATGCTTGTTAGTAAACTTATTTCCTGTTGCTGAATTTGATGGCAATAGCTCCCTTACTGTTAATGTTGTATTGGGATTGACACTTAGCATGATTTATCTACATGTGACCAATGATGCACGGATACGATACGAGTATCGTATACAATGTTACATTGATCCTTAAAAAACATAGATACCATGCGCTTATTATTTAGATTTAGGTTATTATACTATTTTTTATTATAGATTATTATTATACTATATGTTATGTTTTAAATAAAAAGCAACAAAAGAGAAGACCAAGACTCAAATTGAGCCATTCAATAACTAAATACTCAAATTGAGTCCCAACAAGCATTAAAGAAAAGCCTCAAAAATCAAGTTTGAACAACATGTCCCAATTCCCAAAACCCTAAATCCCTAGTATTAACCCCTCAGCAGCTAACTATTGCTGCGACCACTATTTTAGAAAATAAAATTCAGTTATGCATGTGAGAGAAAACAGCCACACATGGCTGCTGCCTGCGTGTTCTGAGTGTGAGAAAACAGATGCAAATGACTTAAGCGAGAGATGCAAGATGGGAGACGCAAGTACGACACGTCTACGGCGGGTCAAATGGCGTGTAGATGTGTCACAATTTTTTTAATTTAAAAAGAAAAGATCTCTGATATTCCAGCGTCATGTGTCTGACTGCTTATCACGTCATATCAGCATACTGATACGTATCAACAATATCCTCAAGATTTTAATGTATAGGTGAATGGGAGCATATGACTCTCAAAGATTAAATGGGTGGATTTTGTCTTATTTTTAGTTGTCTGTCTCTGCATCAATATTAAAGTTAGATACCTTTTGCTGCTAAAATGCTAGTTTTGACATATTATGCATGCCTTATTATCAAACATGCTTCAAGTTTTATCCCCGTGTTGTACATGGGCCTTGATGGAGATTTTTCTTTTTCTTTTTGATTTCATGTATCATATTTGCACCAATGGGAAAGGGGGTATTGTCTGTTTTCTAGAATTTTTTTGCTATATCTTGATAGAACTTGGACCGAATGTTGGACGGTTAAGAATCAACACGAGAATAAAATAAGTGTAGTAGAGATGAGGATGTTGCAGTGGATGTGTGGTAAGACTCGACATAATAAAATTAGAAACGAAAATATTAGAGAGTGTCGGAGTAGTGTCTATAGTGAAGAAGATGGTGGAAAATAGACTTGGATGGTTTGGGTATGTAGAGAGAAGACCGGTAGATTCTGTAGTAAGGAGGGTAGACCAGATGGAGAGAAGACAAACAATTAGAGGAAGGGGAAAACCTAGAAAAACTATTAGAGAAGTTATTAAGAAAGATCTCGAGATTAATGATTTGGATAGAAGCATGGTCCTTGATAAAACATTATGGCGAAAGTTGATCCATGCAACCGAACCTACTTATTGGGATAAGGCTTAGACTCTGGTAAAAATTGCGGTTGGCTGTTAAGTTAGTTGATAGCTTATAGTTTATAGCTGATGACTGAAGATTGATAGCTTATAGCTTATAGTTGATGACTGATGACAATTAGGTGATAAGTTAATTGAAGTGTTAGGTAAAATTAACAGTTCAACTAATTGATAAATCTAAAATGACATATAAGACATTTAATACATAATTGTTTTATTTTAAATGAAAATAAATTATAAAGGGTAAAAGTGGATTTTAGATAAAATAATATGGGTAAAAATGATAAGCTATAAGTCTTAAGCTAAAACGCTATTTGAAATAGCGTCTGAAAAACAAGCTACAAGTTAGTAAAATAAGCTATAAGCTCATGATAAAAAGACCGTTATCAAACAGGTCTTTATCGTCATATGAGTTTATAAGCTATAAGTTCAAAAAATATCATGCCAAACAGGGTCTTAGTTGTTGTATCTTAATAGAACTTCATACACAAAAGAAAATAATGAGATTCATTTGAAGTCGAGATTGATGGATAATTTGAATTGATAACATTGGCACTCAATGACAAGGGAGGTACTAGATTTTTGAAAACAGGCATCTGAAAACCCTGCAGAGCTAAAGGTAGTGAAATTGCTAGGAATAATAAATGATTGACAATATACTAGGATCTTGTCATTAGTTAACATAAGATTGATCTTGTCATTAGTTAACATAAGATTGTTTTATGGTCTAGACGGGATGAACAAATGAATTTCAAGTGTATGTTAAGTACCTGTAAACAGGTCTTGTAAAGAATGAATTTGTTTGAGGATTAAGAGGAAAATTACACGCTCTTGGAACATTCTGTTGGTGACTATCCTTTGGGAATAATATTACGGCTTTATTAGGAGAATGATCAAGTGTTGGAACCATTAGGTTGATAACTCAACTCACAAATTAACTAATTTGTTGCCCCCACCTCTCAAACAAAATAAAAAACAGAAAAACCTCAATTTTCAGTATAAGAAATTGGATAATTTGTAGACATCGTCTATCAAACTATAATGTGCTTATTTTCTTAAATCGCAGTCGTGCATTGACATAAAAGACTTATTGGTTGATAAGGTGACTCAATTTCAAAGTGCATATGTTATAAAATCTGAACTACTAATCATTTTCTTAACCTTGATACTTTTTGGCATTCATTAGACAATTGCTTTTCTATGCATAGCCGGTCCTAAGCCAGGACAAAAGGAGAGGGTTGTGTTAGGCAATCGACAACCAATGTAAAATTTTGTCGAATCTCTATGACATGGATCAAATACGTAATCCATTAGATCATTGCTACTTGGATGTTGATTACTTTGGCCTGTGTAATTTTGATGGTGTGAATCAGATTAGATGTAACCAATGGTACTAGGTTTTTCTTTAGTTGTTAAGTATTTGAGGTCCATACTTCCATTCCAAGAATTTCTGACCTGTTTCCCTCTACATATGATTCTAGCAGCTTAACCGTGCAACAACCTTCTGAGAATGGTGGTATACTATCCAAACTTGCCCAGCATTTTCCTCTTGTTTTTAGCTTTTGGGGAAGACATAGTATACAACAAAATTTCTCTGGGAAAGAGGATGCGGTATCTTCTCATGAAATGATGAGATCTTATAGCATTGATGAGAGGGAAAATATGGTTATTCCCCGTACTGTTGATGACAGATTTGACAAGCAGTATGCAGAGTTGGAGCCAGACGCGAGCAACAACAGCTCAAAGTTGTCTGTTTCAAGGTTTCCTCTTTATCTTACTTACATTTTCTTACATGCAGATTCTCTCTTTTTCTTTTCCTATTTACGAACAAATTTATCCTACTTTACATTACATGACAGGGATTCTGAAAAAAATGAAGATTCATTTGACAATATAGCCAATTCTCCTATCCCTTATGATTCCATTAACGAAGAAGGTAATCTTGAGAGATAGATAACTATTTTCTGTGTTGATGCACTTTGACAATTGTTGAATAATTTCTGTTTTTGGTGTTTTATTGTTCAAATTCTAATCGACTTGCAATAGGCGAATCTGCTTTTCAGATGGAACAACTTGGAAACTGGAATCTGGGCCCTGGATTTGAAGTTGCAAAAGAATGGGCCCAAGAAAGGGAAACTGATGTTACACCAGTGGTCGATAGCCTAAGCATATTCCACCTTCCTGTTGGTGTTAGGCCTTCAGAAGAGTTGAAAGACAGTTTAGAAATCTCATTTATGTCAAAAAAGCATGAGCCGGATGCAGTGAAGGAATTTACATCTTCACTTCTGAAGGCAAAACTTGTTAATAGTAATAAGCCAAAGAAGCATGGTGTTCTGTCTGTTCGTGCTGCATCTATGCTGGTAAAAGTTACTGGAAATTTTTTTATGATTGCTCAAGCATATATTACTGAAAGAGAGAACATTAGCAATGTTCTATGAGTACTATTAATGATATGTGAGAAAAATTGTTGTCAGATTCTACAGCTGACAATGTTAAAATTGGATGTGCATCAAGTGTGCTCCCACTTTCCACCCTTTAATTGCTCTTTTTTGCACCTAAGGGGAGAAATCTGTTATAACTTATAGTAGTCTTTGTTCAGATTTTATTTTAATTTGTTTCCTCATTCGAGGAGCGTGTCTTGTCCTTCTTTACTGGAGCTTTTCTGTCCTTCGGTTCTTTTTTCCATTGAAAAATAATTGAAAAGAAATGGAACCAAAAAGGCTGTCGGGCCAGTATTCCAACTTGTTCCACCCCTCAATGTTTGAAATCAATACTCAAGTTTAGGCCCTGCTTACTATTTGCAGACTTTTGGAAGTGCTTCGTTTGGAAGTATTTCCTGTTGAATCATGGATGTAGATTCTCCGGTTCAATCTCCTACTGATTGTGAGCTGCAGAAGATAATTTTCTATTGTGCAACAGTTAAGCTTTCCATAGAAATAACCCCCAAAGGTTGTACTTCCTAACAACCCCCAAGACTGGTGCTTATGCAGTGCAAAACAGATTCAAACTCTGTGGTTATACTTTGAGGATTAAAGGAAGTGTGTACTTTGTTTCATTAAGATTGTTAGTTTAATTATATAGTAGATTGAACTTTGTAACTATCATTAATTCGTTTGTTTTAAACTTTCATTTGTGTTGTAAATTTGAAAATATATTTCAATCCGAAGTGGTAAAGATTTCTTAGGATCGACTTTATATTAACAGGAGGCAGAACGCGATTTGTCAATAAAGTGGAGTCCTGTTGTGGAAATACAATATAGGGGAGGAAGATACAAGGGACGATGCCAAGGCGGTCTGCCTGAAGGGAAGGTAAATCCTTGCAAATATGTAATAGCAAGCAGAGCTTGTTCCAGCTAAACTCAGGAACTTCTTTTTTTCCTTATTTTTTGGCCAACAAGCCGAAGAGAATAACTATATTAAATGAAAATCTACAACCAGGGGCGTCTTGTTCTTGGAGATGGAAATATCTATGACGGTTTATGGCACACTGGCAAGAGATCAGGTCCAGGAACATTCTATTTCAAGAATGGAGATATGTTTCAAGGATCGTGGAGGGATGATGCCATGCACGGCAAGGTTTGTACCCTTTTAAAATTAACTCTTGTGATACAGTCAAAGCTCAACATGATCAATAAGTAAATTTTAAAATCATTTTACTGTTGATAAGTTGTATGATTGTATCTATACTCAAACTACTGCAGTATGTAATTCTTCTATGTATATGCACCAGTGAAAATATTATTTATCAGTTAATAAGTATTCCATCACACAACTTGAAGAAATAAACTTTGGTTAACTCACATTCAATTGTTGGCAATTGTTGTGTTGATCTTGTACACTAATTTTAGTAATTTTAGACAGCCATGATAAAGTGATTGCTTTTTATATAAATTTTGAAGCGTAAATGATGCTTATTAATTATGCAGGGTTGGTTTTATTTTCACACTGGTGATCGGTGGTTTGCAAACTTCTGGAAGGGAAAGGCAAATGGAGAGGGGCGGTTTTACACAAAGTCGGGTGATGCCTTCTTTGGAAATTTCAAAGACGGATGGCGGCATGGCCAATTTCTTTGTGTGAATGCAAATGGAACGAGGTATAAACTCAATTAGTTTTGTTAATTGAGTTATTTACATGAATTTTATTTTTCGGTATGCTGAATATATTTCTTCGCCAAACAACTTATATTAACCGACCTTTAAGCCTTCATTCTATTATAAATACGACATTGACATTTTGAGAGGAAAAAAGTGTTGTTGAAGGACCTCAACTTTAATTTGATCACCAATCAAACACATTAAATTTAGTGTGATAATCATTATGGTGTCATTTATTCATATAAATAATTTTATTTTGTAGGAAAAAAAGCTTTAGTTGTAATATTTATCAGTTAAAAAGTATGCCGAGTATACTGTGTTGTGTTCATGCTATGAATTATTTTCATATATTGAGTTTGATAATTTCATCATTTCAATATTTAATGTATTTAATTTAAGTGCGCAGTTATAATGCATGTAATGTTATACAACACTAACTGTCAGATGGTAAAAAATTAACAAAGGTAAACTTGTGTAAAAGAGATAAGAATGTTACGCCGGAATAATGGTTATAGAAGACAATATATGATTAGAAATGCAATTATTAGAGTAAAAATTGTGGCAATCTTATTGTAGAAATGAGGTTAGAATCTTATCTTAGTTAGTCTGAGCATATGTGTGAAGAAGACTTGTAAAAGCATCAGCAGTAAAGATTGATGACACGGAGGATAGTCCAATAACTAGAGATAGAACAAGGCCAAAAGAAAAATGCCAAACCTAATCAGTAAGAGAGGTGTGGAGATAAATGGCGAGACGTCATAGAATCAAGTGATCCGCGTGGCTGACCTTGTCCAGTGGAAGAAGTCTTAGTTACAGTTGTTTGTAATTGACGAGAGACTCTGAATATGAACAAAAGGGAAAATATCAATTCTGGACGAGAGACTCCGAATCTCCCCTGCTAAGTTAAACCTTGGATGAAGAGAGGGGAGCATCCTTTGTTGATGCTGAGATTAATTTCTGTTTGGGAGTTAGATTCAACTATGACTCTCCTCATACCGCATTCTCCTACCAACTTCAATCCATGATAGAAGTTCAATTCCAGAATTAATTATACTTGACTTACTTTTTGAAGAGGCAAAACCCTTGTCATGCATCCCCTTGTTTACATATGTTTTTCTTGGGTCCAATGTTTAGAAAAACGAGAGTTTACTCAAAACCGGTAGAGGATTCAAAAATCGTAACTCGGGGATCATCGTAAGATTCTACTATTAGGAGAAAAATATATTTTTATATGTAGGATTACATGCATATGCTCTAAAATGAAAAATAATAAATTCAAAGTCAGAATAGAATTTATGCTGAATAATTAATTGTAAATTGTAACAGTTGAATTGATGAGGAAGACTGCGGAATTGATGAGGAAGGCAGCGAAGGGTAGAATAGAAAGAAAAGATTTCAATTTATTGGGAATTCCAATCGTGTCAAATGATTCTGTTTTTAAATAATAATAATAAATTAGAATTAAATAAAATCCGACCCGAATCCAGGCCCGTTTTAGAAAATTAGGGTTTTTTTAAAAATAAAAAACCCTAAAATAAAAACAGATGCACTGCTTCAGAAATACAAAACGATTTTGAATTCCAACTCGGTCGATTTTACTGAGTTTGTGATTTACGATGTTACTTGGATTGCAGCACGAAAACATGGGAATAAAACGTAAGTCGTACGTTTTTGCGAGTTAACTCGCGATTTTGTAAACACTGCTTGGGTCAAATATTTACAAACTTGTGTTCAACCTCTATCATTAGATGTTGCTATTAGAGGGTAATTTAGTATTTGCCATATGTAGGATATTCCCTTTTAGCCCTATGTGGCATTCTTATCTTTGTTCATTTTGTGTATAAATAGGTGTACTAGGTTTACATTTATAACAATCAATTTCCTTCAATCATTAGTGGCAGCTTTTAGCATTTATTCCTTTTCTCTCTTCTTCCTCAATTTCATCACCTTGCACTAACAAATTGGTATCTAGAGCTCTTGGTTTGTTCTGAAATTCTGGGAAACACGAGTGATAGTGAGCTGTGTGTTTGATTTTTGAATCTTGAACAAAAATCTGAAACAGAATCACACTGATTCTGTGGGTTTGGGAAACACTGAGTGAGAAATCTGAGATCTGAGTTTTGTGCAAGGTTTAAGATGAATGGAGGCAGTAGTTTGAACACTAAACTTCCAGTTTTTGATGGCAAAAACTGGAACAGATGGAAGATACAAATGCGTGTGCTGTTTGGTGCTCAGGATGTTCTGGATCTTGTTTCTGAAGGTTATGTTCCAGTTGCAGCAGATGCTACTGAAGAACAAAAATCAGAAGAAAGAGCTGTGAGGAAGAGGGATCAGAAAGCTCTGTTCTTTATCCATCAGTGTGTGGATGAAAATGTGTTTGAGAAGATTGTTGATTCGACGACGTCGAAAGGGGCATGGGATATACTGACCAGATGTTATGGTGGTGACGTATCAGTAAAGAAGGTAAAGCTTCAGTCCCTGCGAAAACAATATGAAAATCTCAGCATGAAGAACAGTGAGAAAGTTTCTGAGTACATCTCCAGAATGATTCTGATCACTAATGAGATGAAGGCTTGTGGAGAAACACTTTCTGAACAAGTAATCATAGAAAAGATTCTAAGGTCACTTACTCCTCAGTTTGATTACATTGTTGTTTCTATTGAACATTCTAAAAATCTGGAAACCATGAGAATAGAAGAGTTGCAAAGCAGTCTAGAAGCGCAAGAGTTGCGTCTGACTGAAAGAACTTCTGAGAGGGAAGTGGAGCAAGCTCTGAAAGCTTCTTTTGTCAAGAAGGACCAGAAGCAGAATAGACATGGTGATAAATTCCAGAAGTCAGAAACCTCAACTTCTGATGAAAAGAAATATCAGAAGGGAAAGGAAAGGTATGACAAGAAGAAGGTTCAATGTTACTGCTGTAAACAGTTTGGCCATTTTGCCAGAGACTGTAGAAACAGAGGAAGAAAATCAGAAGAAGCAAATATAGCCAGAGAAGATTCTGGTGATGAACATGTGCTACTGATGGCTTCTGATTCTGATGGAAATTGTTCAGGAGATTGGTGGTATATGGACACTGGCTGTTCAAACCACTTGACTGGGAACAAACAATGGCTGATAGACTTTGACTCAAGAAGGAGAATAAAGATCAGATGTGTTGATGATAAGTACCTTAATGCAGAAGGTATGGGAAATGTTAGAGTCAGAGTGAAGAATGGAAGAAACATTCTGATCAAAGACGTTTGGTATGTTCCTGGAATTAAAAGCAATCTGATGAGTGTGGGTCAGCTTATTGAGAAAGGTTTCTCAGTGGTTATGAAGGACAATCTCTTGACGTTGTATGATTCTAATCAGAAGTTGATTATGAAGTCTGAGCAGGGAAGCAACAGAACATTCAAGGTGAATGTAGAAACTTCTGAAGCGGAGTGTCTTGGTGCAGAAGGCGCTGAAGCTGACAGTAAGCTGTTGCACAAGAGGTTGGGGCACTTGAACTATAGAAGCTTAGGGCATCTAAGTTCTAAGAAGCTCGTACATGGCATTTCGAAGATTGTGAAGCCTCAGAAGTCATGTGAGATATGCATGAAAGGCAAGCAGTCCAGATTGCCATTTGCATCAGAAGTAGCCCCCAGAGCAAAGCATGCTCTGGGAGTAGTACATTCTGATGTGTGTGGACCATTTCCAGTACCTTCACTTGGAGGAAACAAATATTTTGTGTCTTTTGTGGATGAGTTCACAAGAATGACATGGGTAACACTCATCAAGTTCAAGCATGAAGTGTTTACTGAGTTCCAGAAGTTCAAGGTGAAGGCTGAGAAGCAGAGTGGTCAGAAGCTGAAGATTCTGAGAACAAATGGTGGAGGTGAGTATAACTCTACAGAGTTCCAGAAGCTCTGTGAGGAGAATGGAATAGAACATGAGGTTACTGTTCCATATACTCCTCAGCACAACGGTCTTGCTGAAAGAAGAAATAGAACTTTGCTTGATATGACCAGAAGTATGCTGAAAGAGAAGAAGTTACCTCACATGTTATAGGGAGAAGCTGTTGCCACATCAGCATATGTTCTGAATAGGTGTCCAACAAAGAAGCTGAAGGAAACTGTTCCTTTAGAAAAATGGACTGGAGACAAGCAAAGTGTTAGCCATCTGAAGGTGTTTGGTTCTGTATGCTACAAACGCGTTCCAGATGCTAGAAGACAAAAACTGGATGATAGAAGCAAAACAATGTTACTGGCGGGGTACCACAGTACAGGTGCCTATAAGCTTTATTGTCCAGAAACCAACAAAGTTGAAATCAACAGAGACGTCATTGTGAAAGAGTCAGAAACATGGGATTGGAACAAGCTTCAATCAGATTCTGGTGTAGTGCCAATACCAGGGTTAGTTTCTGAGATCCTTCAGAAAGTTCTGAAGATGAGTCAGAGTCAGAAGATGAAGACTCTGAAGATGAGTCTGAATCTCAGGGAGATTCTGATAGTGGATATGATTCTGATCCAGATTCTGATGATGATCCAGAATCTGGTGGTGATTATACTTCTGGAAGAGAAAACTCTGAAGACATGGGGTCTGGAGAACAAGTTTCCAGAAGTAACTCTGAAGGTGGTGATTCTGAAGGAAATAATTCTGGACAAAGTCCAGAAGGCAGCACAGTTCCGAGTTCTGAAGAAGCTTCAGAACAAGATCAGAGGCCACAAAGAATCAGACGAATACCAAGTAGGTTTGCAGATTTTAGCATGTTGCATGATACTGAAGTAGATTCTGAAGGAGAAATCGTTCAGTGTGCCATGCTAGTAGATTCTGAACCAGTGGGTATTGAAGAAGCGCTCAAGAAGAAAGTATGGCTGAATGCCATGAAAGAAGAACTTGAGGCTATTGAAAGAAACAAGACTTGGAAGCTGACAGAACTTCCAAAAGGCAAGAAAGCCATCAGCGTCAGATGGGTTTTCAAGCAGAAGCTAAAGCCAGATGGATCAATTGGCAAACACAAAGCGAGACTAGTGGCCAGAGGTTTTCTTCAGAAACCTGGACTAGATTACTTTGAGGTGTTTGCGCCTGTAGCTAGACACGAAACAATCAGACTGGTGATTGCTTTAGCTGCAAACAGAAATTGGCCTTTGATACATCTGGATGTGAAGTCTGCATTTCTGAACGGTCCATTACAAGAAGAAGTTTATGTGTCACAACCTCCTGGATTTGTGAAAAAAAACCAGGAAGAGATGGTATACAGGTTAAATAAAGCTCTGTATGGACTGAAGCAAGCACCCAGAGCTTGGAATTTGAAGATTGATTCGTTTTTCAAGGAACAAGGTTTTCAGAAGTGTGAGATGGAGTATGGTGTTTATGTTCAACACACTTCAGAAGGTAATATGATTCTGGTCTGTTTGTATGTTGATGACATATTACTCACAGGAAGTTCTGAACAAGAAACAGTTGAGTTCAAGAAAGTTCTGATGAATGCATTTGAGATTACAGATCTTGGAAAAATGAGTTTCTTTCTAGGGATGGAATTTATATACTCTGAGAAAGGAATCATCTTACATCAGAAGAAGTATGAACTGGAGCTTCTGAAGAGATTTGAGCTAGCAAATTGCAAGGTTGCTATCACACCTGCTGATACGAATCAGAAGTTGGATTCTGATTCTGATGGAGAGGATGTGGATGCTACAACCTTCAAACAGATGGTTGGTTCTCTGAGGTATTTGTGTAATACCAGACCTGATATTTGCTATGCAGTTGGAATGGTCAGCAGATACATGAGCAAACCAAAGTGGTCCCATTACCGAGCTGCTGTCAGGATTTTGAGGTATGTAAAAGGAACTCTGAAATATGAAGTGTTATTTCATTCTGGAGGAAAGATCAAATCATAACTTTTGAGTTATTCTGATTCTGATTGGTGTGGAGATAGAGTTGACAGAAGAAGTACTTCTGGGTACTTGTTCAAGTTTCTGGGAGGTCCAATTTCTTGGAGTTCCAAGAAACAGCCTGTTGTGGCTTTGTCAACATGTGAAGCTGAATACATTGCCGGTGCTTTAGCTGCTTGTCAAGCAGTTTGGCTTCTAAATCTGCTGCATGATCTGAAGGTTAAAGTTGAGGAACCTCTGAAGCTGATGATTGATAATAAGTCTGCAATTAATCTTGCAAAGAATCCAGTGCTACATGGGAGAAGCAAGCACATTGAGACGAAGTATCACTTTCTCAGAAGTCAAGTGCAGAAAGGAGTGTTAGAAGTTCTGCACTGTAGCACTCAGAAGCAGCTGACAGATGTTCTGACAAAGGCGATAAAAACAGACCAATTTCTTCGCTTGAGAGATGAAATTGGTGTTGTTAACTTCTGATAAGTTACTAAATTACGGGATGGTATTAGAGGGTAATTTAGTATTTGCCATATGTAGGATATTCCCTTTTAGGCCCTATGTGGCATTCTTATCTTTGTTCATTTTGTGTATAAATAGGTGTACTAGGTTTACATTTATAACAATCAATTTCCTTCAATCATTAGTGGCAGCTTTTAGCATTTATTCCTTTTCTCTCTTCTTCCTCAATTTCATCACCTTGCACTAACAGTTGCGATAAAGAAGTAAGTGTAGCAGAGATGTTGTGTTGGATGTGTGGTAAGATTAGACGGGATAAGATTAGAAATGATAATATTTTGAGAGTGTTAGGGTAACAATTATAATAGTAAAGATGGTGGAAAAAAGACTGGTGGTTTAGGCATGTAAAAAGAAGACATGGTTTAGGCATGTAAAAAGAAGACATGTAGGTTCTATTGTATTGATAGGAGATCAGATGGAGAAGAGTTAAACACCTAGAGGTAGAGGAAGACTTAGAAAAATTATAAGAGAAACTATTAAGAAAGATTTTGAGATTAACAAGTTGGGTAGGAACAGTTTTGGATAGAACATTATGGCGGTATTTGATCATGTAGTTAGGGTTGTTCAAAAGACCATGAACCGAACTGAACTGTCTGAACCGAATTGAAGTTAAAATAACCGAACTATTATGTTTGGTTAGTGAACCGAACCATATTACACAAACAATTTTAGGACCGAACCAAATGGCAAGGAAACCAAACCGAACCGAAACTGAAAATAAAAAAGTACTAAAACCAAGTTTTAATATTTTTTTTTAATTTCAAAATTAGTTTAACGGTTCGGTTCTTTAACAAATGGTTCGGTTTGGAAAAAATGACTTCTAACGGTTCGGTGCGGTTTGGAATTTTGAAATGGTATACCGAACAAATAATGTTGGTTCGGTTTGGTTCTAAGTAAATTATAACGGTTTAGTTCGGTCCGAATAAATTTTTACTATGGTTTGGTTTGCTTTTCTTACCGATCTGTACCATGAACAACCCTACATATAGTCAACCCCACTTAGTGGGATAAGACTTGGTTGTTGTTATATTCAACCTGTATCATTACCCATTTGAAATGTCAATGTTAATCTAGCAACTTTTGAAAACATTGCAATAGATGTCAATGTTAATCTAGCAATTTTTGAAAACATTGCAATAGAAGTGTATACACTTCACGCGAATGAAAATGATAACTTGGATATATTGACTGTTAAGTTAACCATTATTTTTTGGTAAAATGCCGGATATCTGTAGTAAAATTGACTTCTCTGTGTAACTGTCATGCACAGGTACACTGAAAATTGGGAACGCGGTGTTCTTGTAGACAGCAAGCCTTTAGACTGATGACTGAGTGAGCAGGAGAAATGTGGTACCAAAAATTTTGTGATTACTACTGAGAATCTTCCAGTCTTGTTTCATCTTTTAATTATTTGTTTTTTTATGTTGTATAATAGCTGTTTTTGTATATACATTCAATGCAACGAAGTTTGAAGCTAGAACGTCATGCATACTACCTAAATCTCTCACTCTGGACCAATCCTAATGGCTTTGTATTATATAGGTGATGCTTAAAGGAGTTTCTCAATACATTTTTCTATATGTTAAAGTACACTACTGGTAGAGTCTTTTCGATTGTGTATTTTGACAACCATGGGAATTTTTGGATAAACTTCCATATTTTAATGGGTGGATAGAAAAAAGTTCCTAAAATTAATTCAAAGACCGTACCTTTATAACAGGGGAAAAACATTTCCGCTAGGCTAGCATCATTGATTAATTTGATGTGGTACAAGCAATGATTCCCTTGTTAATAGAGGGCAGAGAACTGATCCTCTAACTTTATTGTGGGAAAGTTAGGGTAGTTTTCTCTGTTTCTTATCTGAGGGATCTATCATATGGTCCTAAATATCTTCTTCTTTTATTTTTTTCAAAGTTTAATATCTTTTTGCTCTCTGATGTTAAATTTGGATTCATTTTGGTATATTAACTTAAAAAATATTATATTGGTCCCTTAATTCATTAAAACTATAGTGTTATTTTTTTTGTCTAATTAACAATGAATTTAGCGATTACTTTTTGAGTTTGTTTATCTGTAATTAAATGAAAAGGGTTGATATTGTATGTTTTGAAGAGTTAAATAACTAATATGATTTTTTTATATTTTATTTTTAAAAGAGACAAATTAAGGCTGAGGTTAACATACAAGATTAAAAATGATATTAATTTTATTTAAAGCAAAACTTAATAAAGAACTCTGGTCTTGTTGTGTCAGCGGCTTAAATATTGATTCTCCTTATGGCCGCAAAGGTCTGTGCATGATTACACTTCTGCTGAGAAAATGTTTCTCTTTAGTTGCAATTTGGTCACTCATATACCTTTGAAATTCGATAATTGACTCGGAGTTAAGAAATTGTATTAAGAATGGGTTGAGATTTGGAGCATGAGTGAGATGATGTGGCAAGGAGGCCATGGCAGCAGAAGTCAGGATGAGGTAGCAATGCCACATTGGGAGGACTGCATGGAAGAAAGCTTGGGAAGTAAGTGCATGTTAATAAAGATGATGTCGAGTCACCGACAGTGACGACAATGAAAGCCAGCTAGTGGTGGTGGCGGCGATGGCAAAGGAAGTAGACGGATTTCAAGGTTTAGTTTTCACTTAACTTCACACAAAAAATATTAATGTCAGAGAATCCACTTCACAAATGAAAGCGGGTTAAAGTAAGAGAATCCACAATAAGAATTGACTTATTCCATAGAAGTAAAACAAATACAAAGAAGTTGATTCAATTGTTCGCGTTCATAATACAAAAGTTGTGGGGTGAAGGTAACATCTTTAAACTTCAAACATAAGAAGGGAAAATTTCGAACTAAAACTATAAAATACTTGGCGTAACATGGCTATCATCAGTTGTCAAGCATCAAAAGAAGTTCGTTCAATCGTCAGGTTGTTAAGTTTCTCAATTATTAAAGGAGTTGCGCTTAGAGATGAGAATAAGTTGAGTCTGAAGGTGAAAAAAACACAAGAAAGGAGGGGGTTAAATAATATATTTTTTTCTTTTACTTTTGAGTCTCTTATCAAATTCTGAATACAATGTTGAAATTTGAGTTAGAGTCTGAAGTATGCAGCGAAATAAAGGTTTAGAGGTAAAGAAGAGAGAAAGAAAGACACAAATAATTATTTTGGTTCCTCTCGTAAATTAGGAGTAGTCCAACTCTCTTGCACTTCCAATAATTCTTAAACACTTAGAAAAATTTCAAGTATTTAGAAATTTGACTTTTTCAAAGTAAAATTTGACTTTTGAATTTCTTGACGAAACAAACTTCATATTCCAACATGTCTTGATGAAATATGATTTTTTGAGATTTGATTTTGATTCAAAAGTCAAAGTTTGACCTTTCAGTGTGCAAATGACTATTTTGCCACTGTGAGTGATTTTCTTGAAAAATTTGTAGTTCAAAGCTTGGAATTGGATGGAAGCAAACTTGAGAATCCATGGTGATTCCTTGAGAAATGAGAGGGGAAATTTTGGGTACAACAATATAGATTCACTTTGCAGGAAAACTATTCAAGTCAATCTTGTAAGGATCCCTCCACAACTCAAGGAGCTAGCTTCAAGGATTCATGAAAACTCTCCATTTATCGAGAGACATGGTCGCCTACTCAACTTGGTCACTTCCAACACAGATGAGGACATGATGAAGGTGCTCTTTCAGTTCTTTGATCCTTTACACCATTGCTTCACATTTCTCGATTATCAACTTGTGCCAACTTTGAAAGATTTCTCCCAACTCTTGAGGATTCTCATTCTCAATCAACTACCTTTCAACGGTACGAAAAGAGACCCAAAGCCAGAAGAGATTGCTCAAGCTCTACACTTGCACTCATCTGATGTCACAACTTATTGGAAAACAAGGAGTGGTGTCAAGGGTTTCCTAGCAAAGTTCCTGTTTGAGAAAGCCCAAAATTGTTGGAATTCCTTGGACTTGCAAGCCTTTGAGGAAATTGTGGCTCTCCTCATCTATGGGATAGTTTTGTTTCCAAATCTTGACCAACTCATAGATGTCAACGCCGTCAAAATCTTCATATCCCACAACTCGGTGCCTACATTGCTAGGAGATATCCTACACTCTTTTCACACTCGCGCAACGAGGAAAAGAGGTGTTCTTATGTGTTGTACTCCTCTCTTGGCAAGATGGTTTATTTCGCATCTTCCCCAATCCGTATTAAAAAATGAGCAAGGTTCAAGGTGGTCACAAAGGTTAATGATGTTCAAACATTCGAATATTCATTGGTGCTCCCGATTCAAAGAGAATGTTATCATTGTCGACCGTTGTGGAGAATTTCCTAATGTCCCTTTACTTGGCATTAGGGGAGGTATCACCTACAACCCATGCTTAGCCTTAAGACAGTTTGGTTACGCCTGAAGGGGTGGCCCGCACAAGATGCTGATTTAAGGTTTGATATTTGACTACGACAACGATGATCAAGGTCTTCGCCAGAGATTTATCCGAGTTTGGAGGATGTTGAATAAGGTGGATAGCAAGACTTTGGGGCACAAGAATTCCATCCCTCTTGAGCCTTACTTCAAATGGTTACGAACTCGTGCTCAGAGTCTTATGATGCCTTACCCCTCCATTCTCCCGGTAATAATTGAGTCATGGAAGGAGATGTTCCATACACTATCCTACATCCTGATATGCCCACCTCTCTTGAAGACCTACAAAGAGATTGGATACAATTCAAGAGAGAGCGAGATACTTTCGAAGCCCAATTCTACGCGAGCAAGAAGAAGGTTTTGGAACTCACTAGGCTACTTCATGAGGAGCAGACTCGCAATGCCTACATCGCGCCAAAGAGGATGCGCACTACCTTTTCATCTTAGAGCTTTGTATTTCCTTATAAGCCCAAGAAGCATTGATGTACTCAAGCTTTAACTTATTAATATAACGTGTGTTTCCTTTTTGTCTAAAACAAATTTGAATCTTTGAAATCCTTGAAACCATTACATATGCATATACCATTCATCATAATATAAGCAGGTCTTTTGCAACAAGTCTCCTCATCTCTCTATTATTTATTTCAGTAAGATGGATCTAGAGTAAACAGTGAAGGACCTCCAAGCTCAGAATGTTAGAACAAAGTTTGAATCTACTACCCTAAGTTTAAGTTTTGATGATAACAAAATGCTAAGATACATTAATAGTATGATTCATGTAAGACACATATGCTATCTAAAAATTACATTCTGTTTTACAGAAACTCTGATGGGTATCAGCATGAGAACATCCTCATCAGCATCAGAAAATTGGATATCAACATCAGCATCAGAAGATGTTATATCAGATACCAGAATCAGAAGATCAACTTGCGCTTATGCTGAAGCTTGATGAATAGATCTGCGCTTAACCATCTGAACTCTGATAAAGACAACAACAGTTCATCAGCACCTAAGCAGCGTCAGAATGAGCCAAAGCCAGAACACGCTTAAGTGGCAACGGCACTGTGCATTCAAGATGAGTTATTACCAACGGCATTATTCCAGACAAGATCTGCTTAATAAGGAAAGAATGTTATTGGCATTGAAACAGAATTATTGCTCCAATGTACACTATTTCCAATGCTATATAAATAAGTCAATGAAGATTGAATCGACTAATTCTCTACAACAATTTACACGCCAAAAGCTATTCATCATCTTCCTTACTCTCAGTTTGCTAAAAGCTCTCAATTCCTTACTCAATTATTTTAGCAATCCAGTTCTCATAAGCTTAAGTTGTGTAGTATCACAGTTGTGATCAACAGTTTTGTAGAAAACATTCACACACCTAGATTTCAATTCTTTGTAAGAAAGTATTTCCTTGAGAAACCCGTTTGTGGTTTGACTCAAGAAGGCTCTAGCAGTTGCTAAAGCAGATTGTAATATTCAGTTGAATATAGTGGATTAAGACCTCGTTGGAGAGAGGCGAAATCACCTTGACGGGTGGACTGGAGTAGTTTGAGATCAAACGAACCAGGATAAAAATATCGTGTTGATTGCTATTGATTTCCAGTTTTTTACAATTCAACCCCCCTTCTTGTGTTTTTCACTTCTTCAATTGGCATCAAAGCGCCTGGTTCTGAGCTAAAACACTTAACCGTGTCAGTACAAGATCCAGCGTCAGAAAAAGACAATGGCAGGAACTTATCAACACACCAGCAATGACAACAATGAAGACAAAGACAGATTCAGCGGCAAACCTCCAGTCTTTGATGGAGAAAATTTTGATTACTGGAAAGACAGAATTGAAAGCTTCTTTCTGGCACATGATGCTGATCTGTGGGACATGGTGACAGATGGATACAC